GAATAGAATAGAATAGAATAGAATAGAATAGAATAGAATAGAATAGAATAGAATAGAATAGAATAGAATAGAATAGAATAGAATAAACAGCTCTGATGTGTAGGGGCCTACAGCGTGCCAATGGTTCTACCACCCCACCTTAAAGCACATCATTAGGAGTGCTGCCCAAATGCCTCAAACACAGGCACAGGGCACCAACAGCCTCTCTAGGAGCACTGTGCCCGTGTCTGACAGCTTGTAAGGTTTGGGAAACTCTGAGTCGAGTTCCACTGCTGTCCCTGGGGCTGCTGCTGTGGAAAGCAGGGGCTTCCCCAGAGCGTGGCTTTAGGAGGAGGAAGCGCTGTGAATTTTAACAGTGGGTTGAGGTGTGCCCTTGCAGAGCTGCCAATGGGAGGCGTGGGGTTGGCCCCATATCCTATCCCCGGGGGAGCATCCGTGTCCCTGGCAGACCCTGCCTGATCACAAGATGCAGGAGGTGCTCCCTGTGAAATCACTGCAGGATGCAATTTAATTCTCAGGATAACATCGTTGCAAAAGGAGCCGTGATCTGAGAGGGGTGGCGGGGGCAGGGCGAGAGAGCCTGGCAGAGCTGGGGCACCTGGAGCAGTGAGGGACATCCCAGGGACTCCTCAGGTCATTCAAAGGACACCCAGAGACTTCAAAGAGACATGCAGAGGTCACCCCAGAGACATCCCAGGGACATCCCAGGGACCTCGTAGCATCTCCCCAGCCTGTCCCAGTATCTCTTCGGTCCACAATTTCTGCCCGCAGACGAAGCTTCCCCGATCCCCTGCTGCCTGGCCAGCAGCAGAAATCCCACCCGCGTCCCCTGACGCTGTCCCAGCAGATGGCAGTGCTGCAGTGAGACCGGCTGCTCGGCTCTGACGTTATCCAGGTGACGTCCTCTTGTCACCGTCACCCCTCACACTCCCGGACCAGAGGGATGAGTGTCACAGCACCGCCACCACCACTCATCCCCTGCTGTTCCCATCTTACGACATCTTCACCAGCAGAACCAGGTCCTGGCAGGGCAGGCGGCATTTCCCTAGGCACCGAGGGGCACGCTGGCATTATGTCCCAGCAGACAAGGGGTGCTGCTGAGAGTGCATGGGATGCTCCGTGCCGCCACCCCTTCCCACCTCAGGAGCCCTGGGGGCAGCGCGGCCACAAACAAAACGACATCTGTCCTGCCCCGCTGGGGAGATTTTCCAGCTCTATGGGGGGATTTTAGGGCTGGAGGTGGCACCTGAGAGGCAGTGGAGGGACCAGTCTCTGTTTCAGGGTTGTCATGCTGGGGAGCAGGTGGAAAACAAACGACCTCATGTGCCAGTATGTGGGACAATACCAGCTTAGCCGTGGGCGCAGCCAGAAGGGTTCCTGCTGAGCCCAGGCGATGCTATTCACAGATAAATCTACATTACAGTAATTAATAATAATTTATAATTGAGTCTGTATTTGGAAAACCAGCAAAATCAGAGCATCGCTCAGCTCAGGCACGAGGCAAGCAGGCACATCTGGGAGGAGATGGGTGTGTGATGCTCCTGGCCCCACTCCTGATGAGGCTTTGGGGCACCCAGGAACCTCGCAGCCCCATGCTGTGCTTCCAATGAGAGATGATGGGAAGGACAAATACAAAAGTCTCGAGATTAAAGCATCTCCCTTCCCCCTTGCCTTTGAGTCGGGGAATTAGTTTTAAGCTAAGCTCCTCTGTAATGAGCAGACACAGGGAGACCAGCGACGGGCGATTGCATAGCTTTTAATTAAGGACAGCAGCATCACAGGAGCTGGCATTCCAAACCAGTGGAAAAAATAAGGCAGGGGCTGGGTGGCTTACAGTGCTCATCGGGGTGACTTTCAGGATGGCCAGTGCCACCTTGAAGGCAAAACCTTCTGCACTTGAGCTCTGTCTCTGTCACTTTTTTTGACCATGGCCATGGCAGCACAGTTCAGCTGGAGTTAAGAAATGCCATTGGCCACCACCAATTGCTCAACATCCACTGGGCTGGGATCTTCTACCCACATCCAAAAAATTGAAGGACCAAGGATTTCTGGCCAGCCTCTGCCCTTGAGGCTTGATGTAGCTGTGCTTGCAGGCAGAGCTCCCAGCTGCCTTCCCATTTCCCTGCCAAGTCAGGATGGATGCTGTTTGTCTTTCTCATTATAGTGGCCAGATGCGGGGCCGGTGATGGATTGAAGCGTCACACAGGAGCTTCTGCACTGTCACAGTAACTGCTGGGCCTCCCACAAGGTGGAAAATTTTGGAGGATTAAGCTCTGTGATCAGCTAAACTTCACCCCCAAGCCACCAGGATCCAGTTCCATAGGGGTGCAGGGACAGGGAGTTGAGGAAGCAAGAAGAGGGGTGAGGGCATGACCTGAAGGTGCCCATGGTCAACCCAGCTGGAGGACACAGCTCTTTTCTTGGAGCCATAAATCCATCTTGGAGACATTTTGGATTAAGCAGGTTGGGTATTAGGAAAAAATTTCTTCTCAGAAAGAAAGGTTGGGCATTGGCACAGGCTGCCCAGGGAGGTGGTGGGGTCACCATCCCTGGAGGTGTCCAAGATCCATGGAGACGTGGCACTGTGAGATGTGGTCAGGGGGCATGATGGGATGGGTTGGGGTTGGACAACAAGATCTTAGAGATGTTTTCCAGCCTTTATGATTCTCAGATGGCTGTGATTTTCAGCACCTGCCACCCCCAGCTCACCCCAACTCTGGATCTGAGCCCTCTGCATTGCTTCACAGGGATGCAACAGCTCCTAAATCAGGAACAAATCTCCCCAGCTCTTCATGTGCATTTCCCACCCTGCCACGTGGGACACCATGCATCATGATATAACTCTATCCCAAGTGTGATGGGTGTCCCCAGTGCCATCAGGGTGTCCCCACCAGGACAGTGCAGGTGTGCAGAAGCCCATGGAAAGCAACGCATGAAGTGAGCACAAAGAGAGATGCACGGAGTGCATCCGAACAAACAGTGCCATGATGCTCACCGTGGATGGGGATGGGGGACAAGGTGCCACCACCCCGTGCCCTCCCAGCACCGTGCGAGGCTGCAGCAGTGCTGTTGAGCCCCACGTGCCCAGCTGAGCAGATTTTCCTTGGCTGCCTGGGCTATATTTAGCTGCCTGTAAAAGGGGTTAGCGAGCAGCGCTGAAGCCGGTGGCACAGCTAGGAATGTCAATGGAAGAGCAGCCAGGGATAAAAAAAGCCCAAGCTGGGTGCTGGAAGCTTTGCACAAATCCCTGCCACTGCAGGAAGAGGAGGAGGGGGAAAAGGAGGAGGCAGCCCCATGTCCTGCACTGGAGGCACAAGCGATGGCCACTTGCTATCCCCACTCACCATCCCCACACTCAGCAATTTTGCTCTTTTTGGCTGGTTTGTAACACAACAGCTTCCAGTTACTGGAAGTTACCGGAGCACAAACAACACTCTTTGCCTTTTTGCACTCATTCAGACATAATTACAGCCCAACTGGGTGAATCCCATCATGTCCTAACATCGCCCAGTACATCCAAGCATCTCCCCAGCACATGGCAGCATCTCCCCAGCCTCACCTCAGTATCACCCCAGTCCACTTTTACTGCTCTGAGCCCTTTTCACATGTTCAAAGGGATGCACCAGGCTGGTCCCAGGGTCATGGAAAGTCGTTGTCCATTGGCAGGGACCAAGGACCAAGAGACCTGCAGGTCCCCAAACCTATGTCCCAAAATACCACCTAACAGAGGGACTGACAGCCCAAGCACTCAGCTCAGGACTAAGATTTTCTCCATGCTACCCACATTCCCAGCAAGAAATCAGGGCCTGAACCAGGCTGGGAATTATGCAATTGGATCAAAGAGGAATAGCAAAGCACTGCTCTCCCTAAGAGGTGGCTTTTAGCCCAGATAGGAGCTGCAGGAGCCCATTTCCTCCTTCCTATCCTCCCCCATCCCAACACCATCTCCATTCCCCCAAACGGTTCTCAGGGCATGGGGATGGCAGCTGCCCCCCTCTCCCAGTGCCACATCCCAGCAGGTGCCAGGATGGCTTCGTCTGCTGCTGCTACCCGGCGTGAGACAGCTGAGAGGGAAGACAGTCAAGGAGAAAGAGGAGCGTGAGCAGCTATAAATAGGGCTGGCCAAGGCTCCCTTGTCGCCTAGGTTGCAGGGTTGGGTGTCCCTGCTCAACCCCAGCATCGTCAGGCACCTAAAAACGTGCCTTGGTGGTTGTGGGGAAGCATCCCCAGTGTGCACCCTCTGCGCCCTGCTGCTTGCACAGCCCATTTCTTTCAATTCACGCCCTCTCTGCCTCTCTGCTCCACCATCACGAGTGATGCTCGCGGCCAGGCAGGGACCAGACCCCTCCTGGGGCGGGGGGGGCACGGGAGGGTTGCGCGGTCCTCCGCGGGCCGCCACCAAGTGCGGGACCCATCCGGGGGGGGGGGCGGGGGGGAGATGCGGGGAGGCACCGCATTCAGGGTCCCCATCTCCACCGCTGAGGC